TTCCTGAGTTCCTGATTCAAAGAAAATGGATATATCATTTGTTTATGTCACATCTATTTTATCCCGCCCTTCCTTCATGAAGTTCAGCATGTTCTCCTCTCCCTTAATTTTATCTTTTATCGTGAAAAAAAAATGTGAGTGGCCGAAGGTTATCCAGCGAGCTTCATGACTGAGCATGTATTTGAACCTGGGTCTTCTTGAAAAGTCACACACGTCATCCAACACACTGAGTTTTCTCTGTTCACACTTAAGCACCACAGACATGAAATTAAACCATTCCCCATGTAAAGAGTGGGGAAAGTGTTACTTATTGTTCCACATGACATTCATTTGTGGGCACATTTTTATATGTAATTAATTTGACATTTAACAGAGCTTTATCACTTTTTTGGGGGGGTTGTTATTTGATTACAGCACTGCTTTATATAACACTACTATCCTATGGGTATTGGGGTGCATCAGACTCATCAATCTTTCTATCTTGACCTTGCCACTCATACTTAGGAACACATGAATCAGATGGCATTAGCCTGAAACCATTTTGCAAAGAGGGGAAAGCCAGATCTTGAAACTAGGATCTTTTGCATGCACTGTTTCTATCTAGAGTTTAGACAAATTCCTTCCTGGACTATAACTCTCAAAATCCCCTAGAACAACATGGCTGCTGGCCCTATAGGCTAGGGATCTAAGGAGGAGTTCTCCAAAGAGGTGATTTTACTGAAACTTTTGCTTGTATCATTGTGTTCCTGCCATTTCATTTCATGGCACTTGTCTTAGGTGACAGCTTCTTTGGGCTCACACTAATATGGCTGAATAATAGCATCGATGTTGCCAAAACAACCAAATTCATCAAGCTATGTTAACTATCGTACTCATACTTTAATGGCTGGTTCTCAGTAGCTAACAGTTGACTGTTATGTACCTAGTGGGTATCTTCTCCTCTCCTCTCTGCAGGCACATTTTCCTCTTCAAAGATCAATGCACAACACAAAGATAGAAATCATGGAATTTCTTAATCTGATGAAAACGCGGATTTCTAGTGTATTATCGTTCCCTCCAGGTGTGCAGTTGCGGCTGGAGGTTGCTTGTTACCAGCACTCTTTGGAAGCTTAGTTACTGTTTCCATGAATAAGATAAGAAAAAAACAGTGTTTGTCTTCTGCACATCAATAGAGCCACTTACTTTAAAATACTGGCTTCCCAGAGACACTTGTAGAAAAGCCCTTTTGAAATGATAAAGCACGTTAAACTTGGAAATGAGTCAAAGAGCAAACCTAATTTCATCTTGAAATAAAGCAAATGTGGGGGAAAAATTTCTACCACTTACAATATCTGAACACTTCAAAAACACAATTCCACAATAAATCACATTTGTTCACATTCTATTTATATGTCAAGAAACATTCCTTGGACATGTGCAGGAGTTAACTTGGGGGATTCTGTAGGGCTGAGATTCAAATATGCCCTCATTTGGTATTTCCTCTGTCCCATTGCCATATTTTAAAAGCTGGGAATAAGGTTTTTAAAAGTGTGCCAGGAGACCTCATATGCAGATGAACGCGTCTGGTTTGGTGAGTTAGGATAGGAAGATAATAAAACAATGTTTCAATTACTTTAATCTTTTTTTAAAAAATGCCCTGATGGTCAAAATCTCAATGCATATTTTTGCCTGTACAAGGCAAATGATGTAGCTTCTCTTGGATAAATTAATGAGTCCCCACTTGGATTTTCTGGCATGCACCACCAAGATGAATGGCATACATCTTAAAATCAAAGTAGAGATGCATTAATTGCCAACAAGAACCTGATACAAGTTACTCCAGTTGCTTTCCACAGTTGTAACTACATAATAAGATTTGGGCCTTCAAATGGTTTTAAATTAGTCATGTGCAATGTGTAAACCTGATCAGATTAGAGGTACAGTATTTATTTTATTTTTAGGGTGACTACAGGGCAGATCAAAGAGCCTCTGCTTACCCTTGGGTGCAGCAACACACCAAAAAGTCCTTATTATTTTATATGTAGGGTTAAAAAGTGGATCCACCATTTAAACTGGCAAAAGAGAAAATCAGTATTGGTAGTACACCAATGTACTATGGCACGAAAGGTGAGCAAATGGTGAAGTCACCAATGAACCCCCAAGAGTTCTTGTTGGGCACTCTAATCACAGGTAGGCCTCGGACAAGATCACAGTGGTCTGCATACCCTCTTTTAGCCAACATGCATGTTGAGCAAAAGCATGATTTGTGTTGCTGATGATTAGCCTTTTTGTTTTCTAGCACAGTCTTTTTCTTCTCATTCGGTTTAGCTTACTAAACTTCACTGAAGTATGATACTATTAGAACAGAGTGTGTCAGTGACTGGGAAGGATGGTTGTTATATGGCCTTGGCTTTGATAGGTCACACATTCGGCCTGTCTTTCCTCCCTCCACCATTTTGATTCTTTTTTTTTTTTGCCACTATTTGATGTGGTGGTGCAAACACCAACCACTGTCTACTGGGATTCCGCCTGCACTGTTAAAATGTACCACATCCCCCAAATGGATGGTACTGCACACCCCCATGAATCCTAGCTATTTACATTCCCCCCCTTCATTGTAGTTTTTTTTAATGGGGAACAAGAAGTTGATAGATAATGTTATAGACTTGGAATGGAGTGAGTCAGGTCTCGTAAAAGGCTGGGGATAAGTCTGTCCCAATCTTCATGACCAATATTTGGGAACAACACAATGGTGATTAGCTTTAACTAGCTGCTGCATCTTCCCTGCATCTTTTACGTATAAAAAACCAACAGGGTTCTGGTTATAAGATTTGATTTAAAAAAATATTGGGATTCTTTGGCTAAAATTCAGGAGTGAGTCACAACTAGACAAGGGCCATTGAATCGGTGGGAAATTGGTGAATCAACACCTAGGCAACTTCCATTGATTTAGATGGGCTACTGTGGCGTCCACCCTCGTGCCCCTTGCTTGACCTTCAAGCCTCAGAGCACCCGAAGGCAAACAAACCCCACTCTTTTCACTGGCTGCCACCAGGTGATCTCTAAATCACCATTACTTCAGAAAGATTCAGGTGCACGCTTTAAGTTCTTTTAGATAAAACTTCAGTTTATTGATTACAGAGATTCATATCTTCAGTAGCTAATCACTCCTAAATTTCCCAAACTACACACTCTATTACTCTGTCTGACTCTTACTCTCTACTGACTGACTCAGGCTCCGCCTCTTATAGCATCTCTCTCGGCTCCGCCTCTCAGCAACATGAATATTCATAAACCATTACATAATATAACACGAACCATAGATCTAATACAGCTACTCTAAATTTGATCTCTAAATGTGATTTAGCTGGCAGTCTTTTTTGGAAGAACTGGGGTATTATATTCAATCAACAGCTTCCTTAGCCATAACTTTAAAGCCACAACTCCAATGCACCCTGCATCTTTCCTAACAGATATCTAAGAAAAACACCCAGCAAAGTCCATCTGCTTCAAGCCTGATGAAGTGGGCATCCCGATCCACAAAAGCTAGCAGTATGATTGTATGCTTTCTTTACTGGTTTATACAGGTATCACCTACTCCTGCATTTGCAAAGTTTGTTTTCCTTTCTACCAGCAGGGACTTCAGACAGCCAAAGCTTCTTAGACTGAAGGTTTTCAAAGTTAGCACTAACACACTAGAAAACACATAGAAAAAAAAATCAGCCCAGAGGATCATTCTTTAAAGAGCTTTCTCACTGTTTCTGAAAGGTTGTGGAAAAAACAGCTAATTTCCAAAGCAGACTAGTGCCTATAAAAAAAGGCTTGCACCTTGGAAGCTTTGAGTGATAGTATTATCTAGTAGGTTTTTTTAAAAAAAAAATTCCAGGAAGAAATCATTTCTCAAGCATTTCCACACTTTTTGACATTTTTGAAATAATTCCTTTAAAATAGCTGATTTTTTAAAAACACAATTGGAAAATAAGAGTTTCATGGACAGAATTCCTAGTAATATCTGTACTCAGTTCACATCATGGAGCTCCAACTAGTCAAAAGGGAGGCGGGGAAGCAGTTCCATCTGAATTGACCTGAAACCTATCCCTTCAATCATTTTGTTTTCATTAAAAGCTGAAATGGAGAATTACACGGGGGGGGGCAATTTTATTTAATTTGGTAATTATCTTATCTTTTTAAGATCTGAGAAAAACCTTTGTTGAGCCAGAAACAACCCAACAGGATTAGAAAAACAAACACAGCTTGTATCTGGTATTGCATCCCTTGTTTTTAAGCAGAAGACTATGGCAGGGTAATCGAAGCATAAACCTTGGGTAGCCGGAGGTGGAGCTTGCTTTCAAACCAGACCTCCGTGGATGCAGGCATAGACTAAAAAATAGTGTCTGTAACAGAGAGTGACTATTTTGTAAGCGAAAGGTTCAGGCACATGTAATGATTACCCTTAACAAGTTGCGCTTTAACAAATACTGTAGAAAGTGAATGGAGGGAGGACAAAAGCACCTTTTAAAAATGTTTCATTCATTTCTTTATAAATGAAAGCAATCAGTGTTTCTTTCATGGCTCCCCCTCTCACCATTGCTTGCATAAAACTGTATGATGTATATATCTTTAGCACTTAATCCTGTCAGTAAAAAGCAAGGGAAGGCAAACAATGTAAACCATGCAGAGCGACAAGAAGACGTCTTTCTAGATGTTGACATTACCATATCTGTTCCAGCTATCCTGAAAATAAAGTGTGTTGGGGGATATATTTTATAGCTTCTGATAGCAATACTACACAGTTCTGAGCTTTTGGCCAGCACTGGGGAAAATGGGTACAAAATGCATAAACAATACTCTCTGTAGAACTGCAGACCTACTAATTCAGTCTTGATCTTTCAAATGCCTCTCTTACTAAGTTAAGCTTGAAATTAAGACCCCCTTTTAAATTCTAAGAACAAACAGAAGGAAACATTTCAAATATTAAAGCCTCTATTTTAAAAAAAGTCAACACTGCAGATGGACTGTACCTGAGCAATTTCAGAGACCACCACCTGGAAAGGTTCTCGTTGATTATGCTGAATTTGCGACGTGTCACTCGGGTTATTCTCCAATCATCATATCAAACTCCAAAGGTTCAGTAAACCCCAGGTTGGTTTACAGTTCTGTAAGTTAAACTTTAACTGGTCCTATCTCTGTGCTCTGTGTAGCCCTTTGACCAGATAGCTAGGTCACTGCAGCTCACTCACTGTCTACACAAGCTACATGTGTTTACAAAATTCACAAGACAAAAGTCAATAGTGGGGCAGAATAAATGTGCATCAGGTGAGAAGGATAGCATTCAGAAATTGGTCAGCTAGATTAGTTGAGAAGATATTATTTGGGATATAGAATTTTAATTCAATCTACTTTATCTTATTAAAGTAACCTTGCAAATTGTCTTCAGCACTTCAGAAAAGTTCCAACTTCTCAAGCTATCTGATGTCTACCTTTACAAAGCTAATTTTTCTCCTAGGTAATCATTTATAGCATTAAATTTGCTTGTTGCTCTCTGGACAGATGGCAGGCTTTCCATTTTGCTCAGTGAGAATCTAGAATACAAACGAAAGTACTTGATCTTAGCAGGGGGAAAGAAATGGCTCTGGCTATAATGAAATGATGTTCCTTCTATTAGAGCCATCCATAGAGAGCCTCATTAAGTTTTCCACCCTATCTGTGGGCAGGGTCTAATTCAATTTATTCTGGTAACTGTTAGGCAGATTTGTAACTGGTTGACAGACAGTATCCTGAGAGTGGCATATGCAGCAGAGAGCAGGAGGGTTCTGTCCTGAGCCATGTGTTGTTCAACATCTTCACTCATTACCTGGTTAAAGGAGAAGAGGGGGTGGTTATCAGATTTATAGATGACACCAAACTGGGTGGGGGTAGCTAATCACAGAAGACAGAATCAGCATTCAAACAGCTTTTACAGTTTGGAGAACTGAGCCAAAACAAACAGAGAAACAAATAAACAAAATGAATTTCAACAGGGATAAATGGGAAATTTTACTTTTAACCAAAATAAATACATAAATCAAATATGCAATAAAGGATGAGTAACACACAGTTTGGCAGGACTATGTGTGAACAAGATCTACTGGTTTTAGCAGCTACATGGCCCAACAGTGTGCTGTGATGGCAAAACAAAGAAGCAACAACAACAGCTCAACTAATGCAATTATTCTAGATTAAATTAATGTTCAGATCAAGGGAAGCTACAGAATTAGTCTATTTAACTTTGGTCATAACTCACCTAGAATACCATGTGCAGTTCTGGATAACACAGTTTAGGAAAGCTATTGAGAAGCTGGAATATGCCCAAAGGATGGCAGCTAAGATAGCGAAGGGTCTAAAAATCATGCACCATGACTGTGAAATCAAGCCCATTCCTATGGCAAATGGCTGAGAGACTTAGGGTGTGAGTAGACGGCCAATTTATCCTTAGCTGATTTGGACTGGAGAGGGTTGCTTTGAGGTGTGGTGTGCCCTTTGGGGCAACCCTTGCAAGCCACATGCAAGAATCGGGACTCAGGATGTTTCAAGGCAGAAAACTACACTGCTCCTCAAGGGACCCTATTTGTGTTTCTCTTTAAAGAGAAACAAAGTAGAACAAAAAAGTTCCCCTCCCATGTCCCTCCTATCTCTCCCCCTCCCTCTGAGAGGGCACAGAAAAGCTGAATTTTTAAAAAATTAAGTGGCAAACCACTGTATTGGCTTGCCACTGAGGTGATTCAGCGCTGGTCTTAAAGAATGCAAAGATAAATAAATAAAAGATACCATTCACATGCCCCGAGGTTGTTTCACTAGCCTGAGACCCACGACACATTCTCTCCTTTCTGCTGCCACCAGTTGACCTCTGTCAACACCCTTTAATTAGAAAGATTGAGGCCCAAGCTGAGTATAACGTTGAACAACACAGGTTTATTGATTACAGTTTGCTTAAACAGGTTCTTCACAGACTTTAATGTATTCATTAGATTATTAATAACTTGTTTCACTCTTAACTCTCTTAGCTCTCTATAAGTTCCATACTCTTAACACTGGGGTATTATCCTCCACACATCGTGAATTCGTGCCTAAACCTACACTTTCTTGGAGCACACTCCCCTTGAGTTGTACTCCCAGCAGAGCAGGCAGGGTTGAACCACCTGCCCTGTGCTAATACAGGGAGTCACGTTTACAGCTGATTTCCTAATCAAATGCCCACTATTGGTTCTGTCGCCTAAACTGGGCCTGACCAGGGTCATCAACTGTAACCAGAGGCCAGCCAGTGGCTCATCCCAACATAAATTGGGGTGAATGGCACTTCTCATATGGAACGCCACGTCATAAGAAAGTGATGCCTGCCCCAGAAAATCCATGTAAGCCCTATAAATAAGGTCTAAATATTGGAATAGGGACAAAGCCCACTAAGGCTGCACCCTTACTACCACCCCTGCGTAGATCAAGAAGCCGGGCAGCCAATTGGACCACATTCTGTTCAGCCTCTTGTGCCTACACCTCTCCTTGTCCTTCTCATCTTCCTTGTCTAAATCCTTCTTTTCTATGTTTCTGGTCAATAACTCAAACAAATCAACGTACTTTCCATGTAAAATCTTCTCATTGGTCGCTGGTTTCAAGTGTTCTTCCAGGGGCATTGCACAATCCCCAAATGGCAAAGCTTGTAAAGGCATGGTATTGTAGCCATGTCAGGAACTGAAGGGTACAGCCAAACTCCCACGGCAACTGCTGGAGCTACCGAGGCTGGTGCTGGAGGTTGTGCCAATGGAGCAGCCCAACTACCTACATGGGTACTCATATAAGGCCAGGTTACACCTCGGCTTCCCTTCCAGCTGTGCTTTCAAGCTGCTGCTCAGCTTCTAAAACAGGAAATCTGGTCATTAAATTGTCAGCCAGAGCCCTGAGCTTAGCTCTATGATGACCCTTTGATTCCCTAGCTGACCAACGTGGCTGCGCCTCAGCCACTTGAGGGGTTGTCTGAGCTGACCTGGCGGCTTTAAGAGCTGCAATCTTACTCTGGAGCTGTTCCCAAATAGGCCATGACTTCTCATCTGAAGAGGACTGGGGTGGTGAGACCTGCGGTACTGGCTGTTTTTTGGCTGACTGTTTCCCCTTCCTATTGCCTTTCCCCTTCCTCAAGGCCCTTTTGCGATCTAGGTTTATCCCTAGGCCCCTGAAGAAAAACCCAGACCTCTATATCCAAGCCCCTTATTTGTGAAGCGACCTCGGGCTTACCTCAGTAGGGCTACGAAATGGATCTAGCTACCAGGAATTTGCCACCATGCAGCTCCCTTGGAGTCTTATTATTGAAACAACTTCTTCTTCTTCTTCTTCTTCTTCTTCTTCTTCTTCTTCTTCTTCTTCTTCTTCTTCTTCTTCTTCTTCTTCTTCTTCTTCTTCTTCTTCTTATTATTATTATTATT